CGGGGGGGGGGGGGGCACTTGGTCATCTGCACCCAAAAGCCACAGATGAGCAGCGGGGAGGAGGCCTGCTCACTCATTATAGCGTCCTTACAGCAGGCATGCCACACTCCCATTGTGTCCTCTAACACCAGACACCAGCTGAGGAGGTGGAGGTCGGAAGGAATCCTCCCTCACCCTGAGTCAAGACAGCTACTCCTCACTTGGAAAGAGCCTCCGCAACACGTGACCTTGTCAGACACCATGTTTGAGAAATGAAGAGTGGATGTGAGACCACACAGGCCTTCAGTCGTGCACATTCAGGAGATGCCTCTTTTCTTTCCCACCTCCCTCTCCAGAGCTGCCACACATGGTCTCGGTCTCCCTAGACAGCCCCCCCCTCGAACCCAGTGTTCTGGGTTCATCCATAGTGAGAGCAGTTCTGTGTGACTCCTTCTGGGATGTGGCCAAACAAGCAGAAAGATGAATGTCAAATTTTTAAAAAAGTAAAAGGTCCTGAAGCAGAGGAAATAAATTTTGTTAGTGAGTTCGACAAAGGTAGTGGAATTGGACAGCTCCTTTCTCTTAGAAGCAGAGACCATCTTAGACTTCGTCCGGGAGATTCCGATGTAGCAAATCGGGGTGAAGTGTAGGGACAAGTCATTATTTTTAAACTTCTGCAAGGACTGCAATGGCAGAGGGAAGGGAGTCACTGACCCTCCCTCTGGATGCTGAAGGGGTAGGCGTCTCTTCCTCACCTCTGACAGCATCTTAGCTGTATTCCAAGAACACAGAGGAGCTCTGCAGATCATTTGAAATGTTGCCGATGCACATACAGCTGTCCACACGCGGACACCCTCTCTACACACAAAGCAAAGCTAGGTGCTCAGGAGTCAAACACCGGGACTCAGTCGGTCTCTCCTCAGAGTAACATGAGGCAGGTGCAATGAAGCACCAGCTTCCGTCTCTTGGCACGGGCCAGTGGAGCCAAGTGTGGCCAGTTTCTAAGCAGCTGTGTTTCACTAAGTGAGATGCTATTTTGAGGGCCCGGGGGCATTTTTTAATCTCCTATGACCTCTTCTTGGCTCTAGAATCCATGCCCAGCCTTCCAGCACTGTACAGGATGGAATCCCGAGGTCAAGAGCTCCCTGCAGGCCCGAGAGAAACCTTCTCCCTGTGCCTTGAGCAATTTCTCTTAGCCCTATGCTTACAATCAGAGCACATGAAAAAAGTCCACCTCATGTTTATTAAAATGGAAAAATGGAAAATAAATTTGACCTCCTAGTTGCCATTTGACAATAAGAATAATAAACTGCACAAAAGAGAAATTGGGGCAATAAACAGGAGGCCCTGAGGTTTCCTTCACTCACACACCTCTGTCTTTGTACTCAAAGGGACGATTCCCTGGAGAGAAACACTGTTGGAAGGAGGTACAGACGTCTTTCACGTGGAACTTATTTAATGCAAAGAAATAACTACATAAATCAAAAAGATAAAATTGCAGTATAGATGTTTGGTGTGTGAGAGTTGCTAAATTTGGAATAATTATGAAAACGAGTGGGTATTGCAGATGGAAAGTCTAACGAAAGTTATGTAAGTGTGTAAGCGTAAATAAGAAAGTGTTATTGCATAGCCTGAATCTGATCAGTGTCAACCACCTATTAATGGTTCAGGAGCTTAAAGACTTTTGATGAGCTTCCTTCTGGAGAGCTGCAGTCAGATACTGTGAACCTTTGAGCTGTGTCATTGCTAGAAAACAATACTGTTGTAGGAAGATGGCTCCACTGTGGTAGACAGAACCTAGCTGGTTTTTACAGGGCGTCAGTTCTTTTTACTTTGCTTTGAGAATAATTCTGAGCATCAGCGGGAATTGCAGAGTTGCCGGTCCAGTCACTTTTATCTTCTCTAACTGGACTTCTTTCTCACTTTCAGTGAGCTTTTTAAAAGTCAAATATTCTCATTTCCACACAGGTCTGATTACCACGACTTCAAGGAAATTGGATCGCGAGCAGCAGGCGGAACATTTTTTGGAGGTAAGAGCGTGTGGAAAGAACTGGCACTCATTAACACTGACTCTGACGGACTCCGGTAACCTTCACCGCAAGCAAGACTGACGTGTTTCACAGTGAGTTTCCAAGACAGATGCTGGTCTTGGATTGATTGAGAATTCAGGTTTCTGGCACAGTCTTCTTCAGGCATTCCTGTGAACTGAGTAAGAATTGCAGAGAGCATATAGCTTGTCCTTAGAGAAGGCAGGTGCCTGGATACCTTGGTTTGGACTTCAGACTCCTGTGTTACTAGTTGAAGAAGAAGAATTTGGGGCAGAGCTCTGTGAGCCCCACCCATCCTGGGTGCAGAAAGAAAAAGAGCAACTGGGCTGCAGTTGGTGCTGCATCATAGCTGTGGACAGGCCCCTTCTCACTTCTCTTCCCAGGAAGAGGCTAGGAAGGGAAGGTTCCAGCTGAGTCACAGCCTGAGGTGGTGCTCCTGAAATCATAAATGCACTCCCACAATTCATTAGGACAGGAGCAGCAGCAGCAGCAACTGTCAGAGCATTATTTCTGGAGAGAGAGAGAGAGAGAGAGAGAGAGAGAGAGAGAGAGAGAGAGAGAGAGAATAAAAGACAAAGGATGAAAAAATAGATATGAAAGAGCTTTCCAGAACATTCTTTCTGTACACATTCAGTACCTTTATTGGGAAGTTTGAAGCCAGAGTACTTTGTACAAAACACTAATTTAAGTGTGACAGTGTGATATGGAACGGAGGAGGATGCTCAGTCCCAGGGCTTTGTGAAGGGTCCATAATATACCCATGCTTTTAAGATGATCATTTCATTCCTAAGATCTTCTCACATGTACCACACTTGCACACATCATATATTTATACACCTACACATCCACACCCACACCTCCATACTCACACATGCATTTGCACACATCCCCACACATCTACACATCCACAGTCATGCACAGACAATCTACACAAACAGATATACACCTACACATACATTTATATACTTACACACGCATCTACATACCTACACACACACACACGAACACACACACACACGACAACTAAGCACAATGGAACACCTATATATCTACACATATATACACCTAGACACCCACATACACACTCATCTACATACCTACACAACCACACTCATGCCTACATACCTCCACATTTCTACACACCTACACACACTCCTACACACACAGTACACAGCTAAATACACTGACATACCTACATATCTATACACCTTAAAGACACCTGCATATCTATACATGCACCAATATAACATTACACATATATACACACACCCATACACTCAAACACACCTACACAAAAACACACTCCTACACACACACACACCAAGTGCCCCTCAGTTCTTATGAAGGGATCTTTTCTGGTGCCCTCCTCTAAATCTACTCACCAGGAAAGATTTATTTAAGGAATACCGGGTCCTGAAGTGTCCTTCTAAGTATAGTTTGAAACTTTGGATGCTGCTGCATATTTAATGGCCCTTGACATCAGTTTCCCGCTGTGAAGAATGGGAGCATTCTTGGTATGCATGCCTCACAGAACCACAGTTAGTACCAAACCTTATTTGCTATAGCAAAGTAGTTTTTGAAGCTCCAAGTCCTGATTGTAACAGGGTAATATAACTACAGTGAAATCCCTTGATAATCCTTTTAAAACACCGCTATAATCGCCTAAAGATAAAAGACTATAGGCTGCCAAAAATAATTACAATAATTCCTTTTTCAAAATCCTATTAATGGGCTGAAGTTTTAACTGGCCCAGGTCACCTGTGTTGTAGTTATGTGCTTCTCTCCCTTCTAGAAAACAGCCCAGAAGCCCCCCAGGGGCTGTGCTCCGGGGTAGCTGCATTACCTGCCAGCAGGAAGGGACGGTGTCTCATTGGCTGTGGGGATGGGCTGAGGTCACTTCCTGTTTGTCCTCGCATGGTGGTATCCGTGTGTCCTCAGGGGTGTGTGGCACCGAACAGGACTGGCAGGCTGGAGTTGTGTAGGGGGGATTGATAAGGGTGTTTCCCAGGCATTTGGGATTTGCTTCTCAGGAGAATTCATGATATTTTCACATTCTTTTAAAAAAATAATATTATTATTGATCCTTTGAGAATTTCATACAATGTATTTTGACCATATTCAGAATCCCTCCCCCATCTCTTCTCAGATTCACCCGTTCTCCCTGACCCCTCACTTTATGTCATCTTTTATTTATTTACTTATTTATTTATTTATAATTTTATGTGTATGAGTATTTTGCCTGCATGTATGTAAGTGCATTCATGTCACGCAAAGGCTGTGGAAGCCAGGAGAGGGCATCTCCCCTGGATCTGGAGTTACAGACACTTATTAGCTGCCATTGTGGGTGCTGGGAACCGAACCGAGGTCCTCTGCAAGAGCAGCCAGTGCTGTTAGCCACTGAGTCATCTCTCCATCCCCCCTATTTTTTAAAGGCCTATGGAGTATAATCTGTGTTCTCCAAATACTCTTGTGTGTGAGTCCGTTCCCTGAAGCCTAGTAAACATACTCAGCATCACACCCTTGAAGAAAACTGGCTCTCCCTCTCCCAGCAGCTGTCAGTTACCAACATTTCCTCAGATAGGGCTGGGCTTCTTGTCCCCTCCCCCCTCCATCTGGTTTTTCTCTGGATTAGGCTTGAGCAGGCCCTGTGGATGCTGTCACCAGTGCTGTGGGCTCACACGTGCAGCTGCCACTCTGCGCTGAAATCGTTTCCTTCTATTCATTCATCCACCACCTCTGACTCACGATCTTTCCGCCCCCTTCTCTGCAATGATCCCTGAGCCTCAGGAGGAGAGGATGGCATAAAAGTGTCCCATTTAGGGCCGAGTACGCCGCTGTCTTTCAGTCTCTCTGTGTTGGCCAGTCGTAGGTCTCTGTGTTAATCCCCATCTGCTACAAGAAGGGTTCTCTGGGGAGAACTCAGAGGTACACTAATCTACAGGTATAACAGAAAATCATTAGGAGTCAGTGTCATAGTATATTATTCTACTTATCAGAATACCAGTAATAGGTTTTCCCCTACAGCGTGTGACCTGACTAGTCACACTAATAACAGTGCTAGGTATGGACTCCATCTTGTGAAGCAGACCTTAAACCCAACCAGAAACTGTCTGGTTGCCCACATAACATTTGTGTCCCTACTGTACCAATGAATATAGCTTGCCAGGCCAGTCATTAGCATAGCTCACAGGGCTCACATTTGGGTGAGGCTGATGATTTACTTATCTCTTCTAGTAGCGTGCACAGCACCTTCCAGCACTGTGAAGGCTAGACCGTAGAGGTGTAACCTTGAGGTCAGCACCAGCCCCATTTCCCCATGTGTGTTCTAAGACTCACATACATAATGTCTTCAGCAATGGGGTCTTACCATCAAGTACAGGTGGGTAGCCAAGTGCAATGGCGATAGCTAGTATTGTGTGAAGTCTGTGGCACCGCTGATTGGCGCCCACTCCTGGCACTGTGTTTTTACTCTCTAGCCTGTGGTATCTGGCAGAGACGCTGTGCCCCCATTACCGGGTAACTCCATTTAAACTCCTTCTGCACATGTATATGTCTATATTATTTTAAGAAGCTTCTACAGTACTAGGTTTCTGTATGACTTTTCAAAAGAACTTTAGGGTGAGTTACCCATCCTTTATCTCCCTTTCTGCCCCACCATCCCACTCCCCACCCCAGTTAATACTTCCAATTCCATTATTTCTTTCAACGTTTGCATCACTGCAAACCATCTCCCCTCCAAGGAAGTCCTCCCTCCCCTATGACCCCTAACTAGTTTTCTAACCTCTATGGATTTTCCAATTGACACACACACATATCTAAAGGTCCAAAGCTAGCATTCACATATGAACAAGAACATGTAATGTTTGTCTTTATGGATCTGGGCTTCCTCACCTTATTGACAGATTTAGCTAAACGCTGAATAACATGGTGCTTTGGACGGGCTGGGATCTGGAACCTAGTTTCTTAGTATGGGATGGAATCGTAGACAGGCATAGATAACACAGAAACTAAAATCACAGAGTTGTTGCAAAATTAAAATGTATGCGAGACATCCAGCCCAGTGTCTGGCACTGAGTAAGGCTGAGAAAAGAGCAGGTGCAGGTTTCAGGTCTCAGTTATGATCATCGTCTTAGTTACCACATGGTGCTATGTGGCCAGAGCCTTCATAAGTACTTAACTTCATCCTCACCCCCTGGGAAGGGTAGTGGGGCTGGGAACTAAAATGGAGCAGTAACTCCAGCTAGAAACCATGTGTCGCTGCCTATGCACCAAGGGCCTCACTACTACCTTGAGTTGAGTGAGGGGTGAGTGAGCGTACAGGAGGGGTGTTCAGGCACGTGATAGCCAAAGGAACTTACAGGGTCAGAGACAAGCTCTCTGCATTCACTAAAGAAAACGGAAGCATGACCTGGAGAGGTGCTCATCAGGTAAGAGCATTTGCTGTCCTTGCATTGGACCTGGGATCGGATCATTTCCCAGCACCCACACAGCAGCTCACAGTCATCTGTTAACTCTAGTTCCATGGGATCCAATGCCCTCTTCTGGCCTCCAGGTACATATTGCATGCATGTGATGCACATACACATGTGCACACAAAATACCAATACATATAAAATTAAAATAAATGAATATTTTAAAAAAGAAGACAAAACAGAATGCAGGTGAGATGGGGCCTGACGAGGTCCTGCTGAAGGAGGTGATATTTGGAGGCATGAGAGAAAAACTCTGTCCAAGAAATAAGAAGTGGTAAAGATCATCTGCATGGGCAGGGGCAGAAGATGGGGTGACAGGAAATTCAGTTGGAAAAGAATTCCATATGTTTCCTTGCGTGCAGTAGAAAGCCATTAGCCAGGGTGGCAGGCTGAGTGTGGAGTCAAACGGGGGCAGGGTACCAGGGACAGTGGGAGACTGTGGGAAGCTTTTCTAGAGACCCAGGTGAGAAATCATGGTGGTCTGGAGAAGGTGAGGAGGTGGGAGAATAA